TGTTACAGCTTCCAACCTAATCTGGAGCCTGTGGTAGAATAACCAGGGCCAGAATCCTCAGACCAAGGGGAGATTTGCAATTTTGTCAGTCTGAAACAGAAGAACATTTAGCAGCTGGCTGATAGTGGCTGAATCCAGCAGCAGTCTACTGGAACTGGTCCACAGTCATTTTCCCTAGACCCAACCCCAGGTCAGGAACTCAAGACTTAGACCAAAGGGGCAATGGTCAGACTTTGCCCTACATCAGACTACTTTGGAAGTACAGAAAGTTTGCAGGTCCACAGCCTATGCTGTCTTTGAGATCCTGGAATAATGAAACACTCAGTACTCCCCCCCCCCGAAAAAATAATTGCACAATCAGTCCAGACATTCCCTCCAGAAGTATGCAGAGTCCAAATATAATATGAAGTCTGAAATTTGGTTGTAGACTGGAAGAATAAATAAACAAAAAAAAGAATTCCACCATAAAAAGCTATTATGGTAGTGGGGATGCTCAAGAGAATGTTTTCAAAACATCCACAGGAAGAGGCTCAAAGAAAAATGCATTTTGGGTACAAGTTCAACTAGAATTCCTGGAAAGACGAAGTAAGTGTTTGAAAAAAAAACTCAAAAATGGTTTTATAAATGAAATGAGATCACCAGAAGAAACAATTGGAAAAGAAATGAGAGTTGTAATGGAACAAATTGGAAAGGGAATTAACAGCTTGGCACGAGAAAAAACCTTGCCCAAGCAACAAACCCCCTAAAAATTAGAATGGATCAAATAGAAGTTAATGATTCCACAAGACATCGAGAAACATTAAAACAAAGAAAATGGAAGGAACCTTATGGAAAAAATAACAACTGGAAAACAGTTTGAGGAGAATACATTTAAGAATCATTGGACTGCCTGAAAATTATGGCCAAAAAAAGAGCCTAGACGTCATATTTCAAGAAACCATTAAAAAAAAAAACCCAACTGTTCATATCTCTCAGAACCAGAGAGCAAAATAGAAATATAAAGAATCTGGCCTTTCAGGTCACGTCCTGAAAGAAATCCCAAAGGAACCCAGAAACATTATAGCCAAAATCCACAGCTTCCAGGTCAAATAAAAATATTGCAAGCAGTCAGAAAGAAAGAATTCAAATACTGAGGAGCCAGGATCACACATGATTTAGCAGCCACCACTTTAAAGGAGTGTGGAGAGCTTGAAATATGATATTTCAGAAAGCAAAAGATACAAGTTTACAATCAAGAATAAGTTACCCCATGAAACTAAACACAATCCTACAAGGGGAAAAAATGTATCTTTAATAAAATAATGGACTTCCAAGCATTCCTGATGAAAAGACCAGAATTGCATAGAAACTTTGACATGCAAACACAGGAGTCAGTAGAAACACAAAAAGGTAAACATAAACATAAGGGAATAAACAAGGACAAACTGTTTACATTCTGATATGGGGAGATGATATATGTGTCCCCTCTGAACTCTATCATTATCAAGGGTCATAGAGGGAATCTATAGACAGAGGGCCTGGGAGTGGTTCTGTTATATCTTGATATCTTAAAAGAAGAATGGAAAGAGAGGGGAAGAAGACTACTTGGGGAAGGACAGGGAGACAAAAGTTGGGGAAAATTATTTATATAATTGAGGTGCTCAAGTAGAAGTCTATACAATTAGGAAAGGATAGGGGAAAGCTGGTGATACTTGAACCTCTCATCTGGACTTGTCAAAGGCAATAAGAATGCACACAGAGTTGGGTACAGAAATACATTTTACTCAACAGAAGGGAAAGAGGAGAAGGGAGGGGGGCATTTAGAGGGAGGATAAATTAAAGGTGGGGTTAAACTTAAGCAAAACCAGCTCTAAGCATGGGCAAAAATATAGCAACTCTCATTGTGGTGACAAAGAATTGGAAACTGAGGGGGTGCCTGTCAATTGGCTGAACAAACTATGTTCTGTGAATGTGATGGAATATTACTGTGCCATAAAAATGATGGCAACTGGTTTCCTCTTGGTCTGAGGATTCTGACCTTGGTTATTCCACTGCATATTAAGTTGGAAACTGGATTTAAGACCCTACACCATCTTCCCAGTCCCTTAGGAGTCATCCTGGATTACCTCACTATCTCTTATCCAATCTATTGTCAAGACCTGTTGATTTTACCTTCGCAAGGTCTCTCAAATGTGCCCCACATTCTCTCTTCTGACGGTGAGGCCACTGAGGTGCAAACTCTCATCACCTCATGGCTGGATTGTTGCAATAGCCTTCTGTGGGTCTCCCTGCCTCCAGTCTCTCTCCACTCCAATCCATTCTCCATTCAGCCGTTAAAGTAGAGGTCTAACCTCTACAGGTCTGACCATGTCCCCATTCTCCCCCTAAAAAAACAAGATAAAACTTGAGTGTCTTCCTGTTGCCTCCAGAAACAAATACAAAATGCTGTTTGGCATTCAGAGCTCTTCATAACCTAGCTCCCTCCTATTTTTCCAGTCTTCTTAGACCTTAATCCCCAACATATATTCTTTGATCTAGTAACATTGGCCTCCTGACTATTCCATACAGAAGACACTCCATCTCTTAGTTCTGGGTATTCTCTGTCCTCCGTGCCAGAAATGCTCACCTTCCTCCATTCTGATTACTGACCTTCCTTGTTTCCTTTAAGTCTCAACTAAAATCCCACCTTCTATAGGAAGCCTTCATCATCCTTCTTAATTCCAATATTTTCCCTCTGTTCATTGTTTCCCATTTATCCTGTACATAGTCTGCTTTGTATACATTTGTTTGCATGTTGTCTCCTCCCTTAGATTATGGGTTCCTTGAAGACAGGCATTGTCTTTTGCCTCTTTTCTGTCCCCAGCATTTAGCACGGTACCTGACACATAGTAGGCGCTTAATAAATGTGGGTTGATTGATTGATTGCTCTGTCCTTGGGGTCAGAGCCACACAGCTGCTGATTGCTTCTCAACTTGCTCCTTGTTTAGTACACAGCTTAGGATGCTCGATTACTCCTCGCCCTAGAATATGTCAATCAGGTGTAGGTCTTTTCCTTCGTTCACCCTAGATCTGTGACTCAGAATTGGGTAGCGTGGGACAGAGCTGCCAGGTGGAACCTGTTCCTCTTCCCTGTAAAAGTTTTGGGATCTTTATGCTGAATCTGGGACTTCTCCTTGCCCTGGTGCACAGTGTCTCCCTGTGCTAGAATGATTTAGGCAGCAGGTTTGTGGCCAGACCCTATCAGCAGACCTGTCTGTCTCCCTGTGCCAACCTGGACTGGAAAAATGACTCGCTGCAATTTTTTTTCCTGGATTCCCCGAACAAGATTTGGTCTGGTGCATTTTCTAGATCGGTTTAGAAGTGTTGTGGGGTGGGACACCAGGTTGGAGGGTAGGGGGAGCCCACTGGGCTTCTGCCTGCTACTTTTTCATCTTGGCTTCGCCTCTGAGGGCAAATTTAGTTAAGCACCCCCAGAATCAGCTGCCTTCAGGTAGCTGGCAAACGGCTCGCTTTGTGGCCTATCTGACGTAAGACAGGGATGGGTTTGAATAACATATATGCTTAGTTGTGTTCCAAAAGTTTGTTTGGGTTTTGAATGTCTGGAACAGGGTGCATTTTTCCATACAAATTAGGATTCTGAATACAAGTAGTATTTCAGGAACATTGTCAGTTAAATAAAACTTCTGAAGGGCTAGCCCAGGAACCTCCTACTATTGAAATATTGTTTGTACAGGAAGGAAAAATTTAGGATGCTGGAATGACTACATCTCCCTCTTAACCTTGGCCACTGCTGACTCCCTGGGGAGAAGGAAGTCTTTTTTTCTTCTCCTGGTGGCTTGTGTAATGGATAGTGCATTGGGACTTGGAACCAGGAAAACCTGTGCTCAGATTCTGCCTCTGCTGTTTCTTAGCTTTGCGGTAATGGGCAACTCTGAACCTCAACATCCTCATCTGTAAAATGAGGACAAAACCTATAGTTCCTAATTCACAGGATTGTTGTGAAACTCAAATGAAAGTAAGTAAAGTGTTTTGCAAACTCTAAAGCTTTACATAAATGTCAGTTATCATCACCATTATCATCATCTGGCTCAGAAGACCTCATTGGAATACAGGTGCTATCCAACTGTAAATATGTATGGGACTCTAAACTGGAAGTGCTTTTGCCTCTGTGCTTCCTGGAGGTCATATTTATGACCATTATGAAATAACTGTAGCAGCCATGTTAGTATATCGTAGGGACCAAAATGCCACTAAAAAAAATTAGAATTCTGTCATGTTGCCATGAGAAGGTCCCAGAAGTTACAATTGAAATAAGACTCCTCTGGTGATCCTGACTCATCTGTACTCTGGCCTGATATGACCATACAGAGACACCATTGTTTTCAGTGAAGGAGGGGAAACCACAAGTCTAGGAAAGCTTAAGTTGCTCCTAGGATACTCTGTTTATTTCTGGACCCCACAAGTATTGAAGGATTGGAGAGGATTCAGAGAAGACCCTCTGAAGTGGTGACAGGGTGAGAGGATCAAATCTGTGAGAAGAGTGAAAGAAATGAGGATTCTGTAACCTGGAGAAGAAAAGGCTTCAGGGCAACTTAATAAGTACAGGCTGGTGACCAAATGTTGATGCCACATAGCCAAAAGGACTTGGGGAAGAGCTTCTTGATATTAAAGACTGGGAAGCACTCTAACCAGTCACAATTTCTCCTTTGAGGAATAGGTTGTTATCTAGTAAACATAAAGGTGAGTATGGATCTGTTGATACTTATAGGGAACCTCTTGGGTTCCCTCCTAGCTTTAGGCTTTTTTGATTTTTTCACTTTGGAAGATTATACTTCCCTTGTTTTAGGAATGAAGATTTATGGGATGTAGAGAATTTGACATAATGAGAAAATATTTTCTGCCGTTTTTATATTTGTATAAAAATTTTTGCTTGATTTCTCATGAATTATTTGAAAGATAGATCCATCTCATTTAGTTTATGGTGGTATTGAATAAGGAATGACTTTTTCTTTTTTTAACAGCCAGAAATGGATTTCTCAGAGACTTCCCTCGGAATAAAAGCTCAGGATCCCATCAGGAGCCCACAGACAGATGTAGTCACCCTTCCTCCAACCATTACCAACACCCTGGAGCATATCGTGGGCCAGTTGGATGTCCTCACCCAGGTAGGAAACAATTTTTTATGAGGGGAGAAAACTCTGCATTGAGTCTATTAGAAGAATGGTTTCAGACTCATCTACTTTAGTGAAATAGTTAGTGACAGACAAACCCCTTCCCTCACTTGCGTCCCATTTCCTAAACTGTATTTTCTAGTGAAAAATCTGAACCCTCTAAGTGAGTTGAAGTACAACATAGAGCACTCCACCAGGAGTCATAAACCCTGGGTCCTTGTGATGAGCTAAGGCTAATCCCTAACTCGGTAACAGTGGCTGGTGGATAGAGCCACTGTTGTATGTTGTATTTCCTCAAAAGAGATCAGTCAGAGGGACCTGGGATGCAAGGTTGCCAAAAGGGAAGTCCAGGAATCATTTACCAGACAATGCAGTCAGTAAACAATGAGGGTCAGCAGAGCTTGTTGCCATCAGTGGCATTGTTGGGTCACTCAGTAGCCTGAAGGTCACTGCCAGCTGTTAAAAATACACTGCTTTCCAGGGCCACACACAAGCTATAGCTCGTCCTGTAGTTATAGCCTTGGTTCTGCTTTTTGAATTGTGTGACTTTCAGCAAATCCCTTTCCATGTCTGGATTTCAGTTTCTTCCTGTGCAAAATGAGAGCTGAATTAGACCATCTCTAAGGTCTACCTTAGGAATTCTGTAATTTTTCCCAAATCTCACAAGGTATTCCGACTCAGTGCTTACTGTTTTAAGCAAATGTACCATAGTCATGATGGATATATGAGTGAATTCTATAAAATGTTTGAAGAGAAACCAATACCTATGTTATGTAAATTAGTCTCAAAAGCTGAAAAAGAAAACAAGCACTGATATTGAGAATTGGTAGGGAGCTCACTGGCCATCTAGTCCAGCCTGTATGTAAAGGAATCTCTGATATATCATACCTCACAGGTGGTCATCGTATCTCTGCTTAAAGACCTCCAAGGAAGAGCATTTTACCACCTCTAGAGACAAGCCACTCCACTCTTGGGCATGTCAAAGTGACCAGGGGTGGGGAACCCACAAACTTGAGGCCACATGTAGCCCTCTAGGTCCTCAACTGCGGCCTTTTGACTGAGTCCAAGTTTTACAGAACAAATCCTTTTATAAAGGGGATTTATTTTGTGAAATTTGGGTTCAGTCAAAGGGATGCACTTGAGGACCTAGAGGGCCACATGTGGCCTTGAGGCTGTGCATTCCCCACCCCTGGTCACTTCGACAGAACTAGTCTAATCTCTTTTCCACATGACAGCCCTGTAATTATTAGAAAACAGCAATCCTATCCTCCTTGCATCTTTTCTCCAAACTAAATATTCCTAGTTCCTTATATGTCATGACCTCAAGGCCCTTCACCATCCTGGTTAGCCTCTATACACTCTCTCTAGCATATCATTTTATCAGGATCCTTTTCTTGTGAGATAAGTATAGTCCTAATACCTAAACCCAGAAGTTTAAAGCAAAGTTAATTATAGATCACTATCACTTAAGTATATCAATGCAAAACTTTTAAATAAAATCCTAGCAAAAAAGATTATAGTAACAGTTAAGTTGAACTTATCTCAAGTGTGCAAGGATGGTTCACTATTAGGAAAGCAATGAACATAATTAGTCATGTTTAAATAAAAACAACTAAAATCACATAGTTGTATTATTAGATTCTTTTAAAAGCTTTCAACAAAGGACAATACACATTTATACTATAAACCTAAAAGTCATAGGCATAGAAAGGTCATTTTTAGAATGATAAAATGTGTGTGTGTGTGTATATATATATATATATATATATTTAAAGCCAAAAGCCAGTATCATTTACAAGGAGGAAACAACTAGAAGCTTTCTCAAATATAGGAGCAAAGTAAGCTGCCCCTTTCCCTGTTGTTACTCGACATAGTTATAGAAATACTAACAAAAAGACAAGAGAAATTAAAGACATAAACATTGGCAAAGGGACAAAGTCATTCTTATCTGTAGATGTTGTGATGGTTTACAAAAGCAAATAGACATTTTCCATGTAATGTCTGACATTCAGCACTTTATAGACAGCATCTCATTTGATTCCCACAACAAGCCTGTGAGGTTTCCCCTGTTTTGCAGATGGAGAAACTGAGATTCAGGGAGGTTAAATTACTTTTTCCAGGTTACACAGCTAATACCTGAAGCAGTCTTTAAACCCAGACCTCTTCAGACTTCAAGGCCAGTATTCTTTCTACTATTTGCTTTCCCCCACACTGAAAATTCTAATTTTGTGCCTACCAGTTTACCCAATCTGGATCTAGCTGTCGTTTAATTGTTTTTAAGTTCTTTAGGGTATTATGTGTGTGTACAGTATAGTATATGTACGTGTATTACATAGTTCCTCCTAAATATTAAATATTCATCTAAAGACTACTAGGGCCAGACTGAGGGTGTGTATTTTTTTAAACAGAATGGATAGATTGATTTTCAATTTAAAAAAGCATTTTGTATTAATTAATCATTAAAACAATGTAATAAATTAAATGCTTTGGCATGTGCAAAGTATTGTGTTAAGTACTGGGAGTATACAAAATAAAAATGATAACCAGTCCTTGAGAAACTTTGTTCATTGGGGAAGAATCATTTCAGTTTAATTTCCACAGTCATTCATTAGACACCTGCTGAGTTCAAGGCACTGTGCTAGGTGCCAGGGTTGCCAAGACAAAAACGAAACAGGCCCTGCCCTCTTGTAGGTGTAATACAAGATTTACATAAATAAATATAATAGAAAGGAAATTGAGGTGTGAGAGAGTCCTCATAGCTGGGAAGACTCAGGGGAGGCTTCATCTGAGCTGAGCCTTGAGGGAGCTAAGGATCAGAGGGTCATGGGGAGGGCAGAGTCTGGTCCAGGTCAAAGGAGAGCTCTGTGTGCAGAAGCACATGGGTAGGCCCACAGTAGTGCATTGTGTCCAGTCGAATGTTTCTGGAATATAGAATGCATGGGGGGGAAGGGTAATGGGAAGGCAGTTTGGAAGAAGTTTGCTGGAGCTGATGTGATGAAGGAAGGGGTGTTAAAAAGCTGAGTTGCCTACAGGATAAAAGACACTAAGGAGCCCCTGAAGATTCTCGAGCAGGGAAGTGACACCAATATATTAATCCACAAGCATGTATTTACTAAGTGTTGTGACAGAGGATGGAATCAGGAAGACTTGAGTTCAAGTCCTGATAAATCCCTGAGAATGCCCCATCCGCTTTGGCAGCGAAAGGTTCTTACCAGGAGGTCCCCAACCCAGTGGAATCACAGGTCTGGTTTAAAAACAAAGGTGCCCAGGGCTGGGCTAGATACTGAGGATACAAATCAAAAGGAAGGCAGCCCCTCCCCTTGAGGAACTTACATTCTGCTGGTCAGGTATGTTTTAGGAAGATTGTATTGGTCAATAGAGAGAGAGGATGGATTGGAGAAGTGAAAGCCTGAAAGCAGGGAAGCAGTTAGATGACAGCCATGTGATTGGGAAATAGGACATGAAGGCTAGAGATGTTGTGGAGCTTTAATCGACAAGACTTGGAGAGTGAAGGATGACCCCAAGGCTCTGAGGCTGAAGGTGACCGTAATAGAAATGGGCAGTTTTTAGAGCAGAGGAAAACAGGGTTTTGTTTGGGACATGTTGAATTTGAGATGCCTCTGGAACATCCAGGTGGAGAGAGACATATAGCAGGTGATTGGGACAAGAGTTAGGAGAGAGAGAGGTTTAGTTGCCCAGTTCCCATATGGAATCAGTTTTCCCCTGCAACCCACCTCTGTTCTGAAATAAGCCTTTAGGATTTGTTTTAATTATGTAAGTGCCGTGATTTGATGTTATGGCAGAAACATTCGGCAGGTCAGGACTCACTTCCTTCTCTATGATAATGAACAGTTGATTGGAAGAGGAAAAGATTGTAAGTTTATGTAGTCTAGTCTTGATGAATGAAAAAGCCAGGATTCACTCCTAGACTTCAGTTCCTTAAGTGCACAGCACATCTTTTCTGAATTTTTTTATCTTCCCCCAAGGCCTACTTAGCCCAGGACTGTGCTCGCAGTAGGTGATTGTTTCTTGATTGATTGCCTGTCGCCTTATCCATTATTGGAAGAAGAGACCCAGAAATGAATCTAAGCAATTAACGGTGACTGGGCTCCTCTTGGGTTGGGTTGAGTAAATCCCTAGATGAGAAAACAGTTTTGCAAACTGAAGAAACCTGTAACAGCACATTTCTTTAGACACTCACTGCTTATTATCTAAAGGTCCACTTTTGTGCCTGGGGGCATATCAGTCTGCCACTTGTCCCCCCAAACCATCAGCCCAACTACTAAGGCAAATTAGACTAGTCATGAGGGCCCACTTTAGGCTTGGAAATGTATGTGAGGAACCTCTGCCTCTGGTCTTCCCTCCCTCCTGCTGCTGTGATTCTGAAAAGGCTCCAGAGAGCAAGGGTCTTAGAATGGATCACTTTCCTTGGCATTGTCAAATTGCCTGACTCCTCCTTATCCTTCAAGGCTCTGCTCAAGTATTCTCTCTCCTCCAGGAATCCTTCACGGACTAATCCAGCCCACTGTGAGCTTCTTAGCACTTACTGCTCATCCCACTCATTTGGCTTTAGGGTAGACTGACTTGGTTGTTCATGTTCTTCTGTGGATCCTGGCCCTCAACTAAGTTGTAAATTTCTTGAGGGCAAGAATTGGGCATTAAATATTTTTAAACCCTAGTGCCTACTAGTCCACGGTGGGTCCTTAGTAACGGGTTGTCAGTGCTGTTGCCGATGTTGGTGCTGAAGGCTAAGTCTGGTGATTTTCTCATATCCTTTGTTTGCTGTTCACGCAGGTTGTCTGGTCTTAACCTCCCTTATGGATGGGCACTGTGTAAATGTCCTACCTGCTTTTAGCCTGCTTTTGCTTGGGCATTTTCTCCCTGAAGGAATCCAAATAGTACTAAAAGCTCCAGTACTGTCAACTCACCTTTATTGTTCAAGTCCTCTCCCCTGATGTGGCTGTCATGCCCTGCTGAGTGGTTGAAGAAACCATTCATCCTTTAGTGTTCAGGTCTGAGGTGAATAATCGTTAGAACCCCAAGTGGTGCTTTAAAAAAAAAGCCTTTCTTTTGAAGCATTTAAAATAATGTGGTTTCTATTTGATTGCCAGTCATAGGTATGTGGACTTATGTGCCTTTACCACAGCTTGTATTGGCAGATAGAATTTAAAAAAACATTTACACATGTAGACAAAACCAGCTGAAGATTTAACTGAGTTTAGAATCTAAACTTGGGATTCTTCAAGTCTAGAAGAGGAGATAGTGATTTTGAATAGTAAGAGTCGTCCATTTGTGAGATACAGTGAGTAGAGGAAGTAATGGCTGTTTATGAGAGCTGTGATAACCACATCTAGGTCTTGATGGAGTGCTTAGAAAGGTCTGAAGTCTGTGCTCAAACCTTTGGAGGACCTGCCAGAAAATCCAGGTAGGAAAAGACATTTACCATATTTGTTTCCTTATTTCTTCCCCATTCGATTGTGAGCTCCTTGAGGGCAGAGATTATGTTTTGCCAGTGTGCAGGATGGCAGCTGCCACTTAACAGGAGCTTAATAAGTGCTTATTGACTGACTTACTGTCCTCTGCCTAGCTAGCCTAGAGAATAAGAGGGAATCACATGAATTTCTTGAGGAGGTGAGTAAAATAGTGAGTCCTGTGCTTTAGGGTGTGTTTGGCAATTGTGTGGATGGGTATGAGGAAGAGGTAGGAGTTGAAAATGACTAAGGTATCATCCTGGAGACTGGAAGGTTGGTAGTTCCCTCAACAGAAATAGGAAAGTAAGACAGGAGGGATGGTTTGGAAGAAAGCAAAAACATTTTGTTTTGGACATGTTGAGTCTGAGATTCCTCCAGGACATCTAGTTGGAAATGTTCAAGGCAGTCAGTGGTACAGGACTGGAATTCAGGTCCAGCCGGATGTGGCCTTCTAGGTCCTCAAGTGCAGCCCTTTGACTGAATCCAAACTTCACAGACCAAATCTCCTTAATAAAAGGCCACAGGTTCCCTACCCCAGGTCCAAGGTAAAGTCAGTCGTAGGAGACTTGAGAAGGAGCAGCCAGACAGAAAGGCCACCTGGGAGCGTAAGTAAGTATTCAGAAGGGGAATAGTTAACGGTATCGAATGCTGCAGAAAAGTTGAGAGGGATGAGGACTCTGGAAAAGCTCTCTGATATGACTACTAAGAGATCTGTAGAAACCTTGAAGAGAGCTTCAAATGAAAAATGAAGCCAGAAGCTGGATTGCAAGGGGACGAGGAGTAAAATGTGAAGATGAGAAGGCAACAAGTGTGGGCAGCTTTTTCTAGGAGTTTGGCCATGAAAGGGAGGAAAGATAAAGGATGGTTATTTAAGGGAATGAGGGAGAGTGGATGATCCAAGAAGCAAACTGAAAAAAAGATGAGAGAGGATCAAAGGCATGAATAGAGTGATTTGTCACTTGCAAGGGGAGGGCTTTGGGCTCCAAGATGAGCTGGGGGCGGGAGTGGGGTGGGGGGGTGGGAGATACCATGGATGATGACGGGAGGGTGTAAGGAAGGGCAGCATAGGTGACTAGAGCAGAGAAGAGAAAGTGTGAAGCAGCCTCCATGGAGAGCACAGTAGAGTCAGAGCGCAGTCTGGGTCAGTTCTGGGTGATGATGGCAGTCAGTGGGGAGAGTAGGAGAAAAGGGTTGGGGTGTGAAAAACCCAAGGTACATGTGTAGTCTCCTCTCAGTCTGCTGAAGCTGCTGACACTGCCTCATTATTGGGTTGGAATAGGTCAGTTTCTTATCTCACTTTGAGGCCTAGCTCTGGATTATTGAGGCGGCTTTGTGTCTCAGTGTGAGTGAGATCAGGCCAAACGCTGCACATCAGGATGCTGCTTTAGTTGGCTGATCCTTGATAGGAAGTGCCATTTGAATTGGCAGATAATTTATGTCTTCTGGATTGGCTCCAGGAATGAAGGGCCTCTGCTTCATGGGCATTTTTCCTAGAGGAAAGAGAGTGTGTAAACAAATGTGAAGAAACTTAAGGCCACAGAAGCCTGCAACCCTCTGCTAACTACAGAAACTTCTTCAGGTTGTTCTTGACCCAGTAAAGTGAAAGATCAGCAGGGGCGGAATAAATTAGAGTGTTATAGGATAAAATTGGAAATAAGTCTGAAAAGATGGTAAAAATAGTTGGATTGTAGAAGATGTTTTCCTAACAATATCAAGCCAAGGTTAATACAAAAAATGTATTTTTTTTGTTTATTTTGTGAGGTACACTCAAAAGTCCTGTTGTGTGTTAGCTTTTAGAACTGTAATAATTTTTTGAGTACTGCTTATTATTATCAATAATCATTTGTTAAGCGTCTACCGTGTGCCAGGCATTGGGCTAAGCATTGAGTATACAAAGACAAAAGTGAAAACAGTTCTTGCCTTCAAGGTTTAACAAGGGGAAAGAGCATATACATAAATAGGTTGTTTGCCCTTCTTTCTTGAAGATGATGCCATGGCATGCAATGAATTGGGAAGGCTGTGCAAAGTCACCAGCCTCACCTTCTCCTCCGGAGCCATCTGGGTCCAGTGGCAAGATATAGATCAAGATGACTAAAGGTGGCCCTGGATGCAGTGGGAAACCTCGGCCTTTTTAATCCAAGGTCTTTAACAGCTCTCAGTTTGAGGCAAAGCCCATTAAGAGATTAAGATTAGGTAAGAAATGAGGCAGAGAATAGCCTCTTTTACCTAGTCAAAAAAAAAAAATCTGGCAGGACAAGACCCTTAGGGTTTCTGGCCAAAACAGAAACAGTTGCTGTTTGCATTCACTATGAGCCAATCAGAGCCCAAGCTATGACCAGTGGAATTTGGCCATGCCTTAAACCCAGTTCACTCTGGCTCTCATTGATTGGCCAACAATAGATCCCAGGCCAAGCCCCATTTGGTCATTGTTTGGGCCCTGATTGGCTCAGAGTGAATGTAAATAACAACTGTTTCTTGTTTTGGCTGGAAACCCTGAGGGTCTTCTTCTCCCAGATTGATTGGTTGATATTTTATTTATTTATTTTTTTGACTAGGTAAAAAAGGCCATTCTCTGCCTCATTTCCTACCTAACCTTAATCACTGAATGGGCCTTGCCTCAGTCAAACTGAGACCTGTTAAAGACCTTAGCTTAAAAAGGCCAAGGTCTCCCACATAAATAGGTATGTACCATGTTAATAAAAAATAAATTGATTGAGGGGGACACAGAGCTCTGGCAATGTAGGGAGTCAGGAAAGGCTTCACGTAGAAGTGTCACAAGCAGAATTTTCAAAGAAGCAAAGGATTCTAAGAGATTTTTATAAAGAGATTTTCTTAGAATACTGAAACACATGCTATGATTTTTTTGGAAAGGGTGGGAAATAGCATCAGAATGATATTAAATACTTCTCGTACATTTGATGTGCTTGCCAGATTATATACATTTTTTTGTATTAGGCTTATGTTTTGTTTCATTAATTTAAAAAAATACATCCCAATCCTTGTGTTCAATGTGAACAGTTCATACTCAGGGACTTAACTTTTGGCAAACAATTTAAAGATTTCTTTAAATGGTAATCACTTATTTGAGTTAAAGTTCATAGAGAGCTAAAACTGTAAAAGAAATTGGTCATTGGAAGCACCTAGACAGTTCTCTTGTTAGATCCTGAGAAAAACATTCATGGTTGAAATCTTAATCTTTCAAAACATTTGCAAGTACATGCCTGATGAGTATGAGTTAACTCTTAATCCGAATTACTTCCCATGCCATATTGGACTTTTTTTGTTTAATGTCTGTTGATTTTAATGAATAACAACAACAATATTAATAATAACATAGCAGTTGTATATTGTTCTTTATAGTTTTACCGCTAGCTTTAGTACACGATCTCCTTTGATCTTCACAATTGCCCTAGCTGATAAGTGGTGCAGCATTATTGTCCCTATTTTACAGATGAGAAAACTGAGGCTGAGAGAAGTTAAGTCACTTGCCCAGGGTCATACAGCTCATAAGCATTGTGGGCAAGAATTAATTACAGGCTGTTCTTTTTTCAGGTCCTACCCACTGTCCATCATGCTAGGCCCATTTCTTCCCTCACCATCACTTCACTTACTGGTTGAATGCAGTTTCTCAGTATCTCTCCTAGCTGCAGTGGAGTTTTTATAAAAGAAATTTTAGCTATAGTTTATAGACCTGGGACTGGTAGCATATTTTAAACTGACGGTAAAGAACCTTCCCCTCTCTCTTCTACTGTGATGAAACTTAGCTGTAGATTATGCAGATGTCTACCTCTGGGTTCCCAAGATAAGTCCTTCCCCTATAGATGTTTCAGGCTTCTTACTTAGCCTCGTCACCCACATTTCAGTGATAACTGCCAGGGCAGATCTCTCAATGATGAATGAGGACAATTTACTTGTTAATGTCAAATATCATGAGTTAACTTGGCCCCTTGACATGTCCTAGCTTCTCCCCAAGATGCATTCTTCCCAAGTGTTCCATCATTAAAGCTCTGTTGTTAGTCAAGGAGGAGAAGTTCCTTAACTTCCCTTTAACCCTGAGTCATACTTTGAAGTGATTAGAAGGAATGTCCCCCTCATACTCTTCTTCTACATATTCCCCACCCTTATATGTTCAGTTTCTCTACTAGGAACTGCACTCAAAAGCATCGTCCTTCCTGGAAGGCCTTCATCTGTTTTCCCAGGGAAAATCATTTTTAGGTGAGTCACTCTGGTCCAGCAGTGGAGATTACTTAAGAACAAATGGCACCTTATTACAACAGTGTTCATGTTACAGGTATCTAATCCCTCAAAATGTAAGTACTTCATATTAAAAGGTCTTATATGACCCAGTTAGCATTTGAGATAGGTTTTACACGTGTTCCCAAACCAACATTGGTGTGAGGAGGCATTTTGTATTTTTAAGGTTATTGGTGTGGTTTGTGTCATTCTCAAATTCTTCCTCATGACTTGGGATAGGCAGAATTTTTCCTATACGTATTTTGCAGAAACTAAGTCTCACAGGCTAAAGTTCCAGGTATGGCCAGGACAAGTCCAAAACAGATCTGAATTCCTTATTCCCACTTGCCTTCTATAAGCCATCTCTTTATAAGTGCACAGATGCTTGATCCCCCCAGACTTGGGTACGGGATGAGTAGTGGTGGTTGATTAATCAGCTCTTGCCTAGAATTAATCGGCTGTTTTAGAAAATCTCGAGTTACACAGAAGCCAGGAAGCATTCCTTATTTAATCTTATCTTCCCCAGCACCTAGAAAGGTGCTCTGTATAGAGGAGGCACTTAATAAATTTTGGGTGAAGTTTAATTGCTAGTGCCTTGAATAGGGACAATTGGATCCTTGAGTGTTCTCTGAGGGATAACTCAATTCTCAGTGTCTCCCTCTCCAGCACCTTTCTGGTCCCTCATCAGCTTCTACTAGCTAGCTCTGCTTCCGACAACATTCTTTGGTGTCATTATATTGCTAATTGTAGTAGTAATGTAAGGGACTTGAGAGTTCCTCTATCCCCTATGCCCCTTTTTCTGTACGGGATCAAGAGAGTTGTCATAGGTCACCTAGCCAGTCAGTGGCATAGCCACCACTAGATCTTAGACTGCCTGACTCCTGAGACAGTCTTCTTTCTGTACAAGTGACTCTGAAATTTTATTTTTCCACCTCCAAATTCTACCCAGATGTCCTGTCCCTTGCTTCTTATTGCTAAGTGGATATTTTCTGTGAATGTTGTACTAGCACTTGCAACTCTCCCCTCCTCCCAGTCTCTGTCTCTCTTAACACCTCTACCTTCGCTGTCTCCTAGCCTCTTCTTTGACCCTTCCCTTTCCTTCATTTAGCATAGGTGCTAAGTCCCACTGTTTCTAACATCTGACACCTTCTCTATTCCCAGCTTTAACCTTCCTAGTTCAGACTCCATAATTTCTTTTTACTTAGACCATTTAAATCCCTCTTAATTCTGATGGCCTCCCTCTGTTAATTACATCCTGTTTATCTTATATGTATCTTGTTAGAATATATGCGTACATATTTTTTGCTTGTTGTCTTCCCCATTAGGCTGTGAGATCCTCAAGGTCAGAGACTATCTTTTGGCTTCCTTTGAATCCCCAGTACTTACTCACTAAATACGTAGGTCTACAGTAGTAGGCACTTAATAAATACCAACTGACTAATAGCCCTCATTACTATTCTTGATCAGGCTGCCTGCCCTTGTTGTTGTTCAGTCAGTTGTCTCTCAGTCCTGCTCTGTGACCCCATGGACCACACATAACACACCAGGCCCTTCTGTCCTCTATTATCTCTTGAAGTCTGTCCAAGTTCATGTTCGTTGTTCCCATGATACTGTGTATCCATTTCATCCCCTTTTCGTTTTGCTTTCAAGTTTTCCCAACATCAGGATCTTTTCCAGTGAATCTCATCTTCTTGTTATGTGGCCAAAGTATTTAAGCCTTAGCTTCACTATTTGACCTTCTAGTGAGTACCCTGAATTAATTTCTTTAAGTATTGACTGATTTGACCTCCTTGCCATCCAAGAGACTCTCAGAAGTCTTTTCTAGCACCATAATTCAAAAGCATAGATTCTACTGCACTCAGCTTTCCTTGTAGTCCAACTCTCACTGCCATATATTGCTACTAGAAAAACCATAGCTTTGACTGGGGACCTTTGTTGGAAATGATGTCTCTGCTTTTTAGTATGCTGTCCACATTTGCCATAGCTTTCCTTCCCAGGAGCAAGTATCTGTTAATTTCATGGCTGCAGTTGCTCTCTGCAGTGATCTTTTGAGCCCAAGAATATAAAATCTGACACTGCTTCCATTTCTTCTCCCTCTATATGCCAAGAAGTGATGCGACCAATTGCTAAGATCTTAGTAGGATTTTTTTTTTAATGATAAGCTTCAAGCTGTCATTTACATTCTTTTACCTTTTACCCTCATCAAAAGTCTTGAGAGTGTTGATATTTCTCCCGGCAGCCTCAATTCTAGCTTTTGATTCATATAGCCTGGCATTTCTTATGAGGTACTCCACATATAAGTTAAATAAATATGGTGGCAGTATACAGCCTGGTTGCACTCTTTTTCCAATCTTAAACCAATCAGTTGTTCCACATTCAGTTCTAACTGTTGCTTTGTATCCCACATACAGGGTCCTCAAGAGAGAAGTAAGATAATCTGGTGCTCCCATCTCCAAGGGCTTTTGCTACATTTTGTTGTAACTCACACAGTCAAAGGCTTTAGGGTAATCAATGAAGCAGAAGTAGATGTTTTTCTGGAACTTCCTGGCTTTCTCCAGGATCCAGCAATTTGGTGTCTATTTCCTCTGCCTCTTCAAAGACCAGCCTGCTTTTCTGGTAATTCTCAGTTCGTGTATTGCCGAAGCCTCGCTTGCAGAATCTTAAGCATAACCTTGCTGGTGTGTGAAATGAGTGCAATTGTTCAGTAATTTGAACATTGCTTGGCATTGTCCTTCTTAAGGATTGGGGTGTAAACTGATCTTTTCCAATCCAGTAGCCACTGTTGTTTTCCAAATTTGCTGGCATATTGAATACAGCACTTGAACAATATCATCTTTTAGGATTTTAAATAGCTCCACTGGAATTCTTTTTTTTTTTTAATAATTTTAGCTTTTATTTAGTATTTTATTTTCTCCCAGTTGCATGTAAAAACAATTTTTAATACTCGTTTTTAAAACTTTTAGTTCCAAATTCTTTCCCTTCCTCCTTCCCCAGCCCCCTATATTAAGAAGGCAAGTAATTTGATATAGATTATACATGTGTAGTCATACAAAACATATCCATGATAGTCATGTTGTAAAACAGACAAAAAACCCCTCAAAAACAAAGAAAGTTTTAAAAAAAGTGTATTTCAATCTGTGTTCAGACACTATCAATTCTTTCTCTGGGGATAGATAGCATTTTTCATCATAAGTCCTTCATAGTTGCTATAAATATTTTTGTGCATGTGGATCATTTCCCTTTTTTATTTTTTTTTTTTAATTTCTTTGGGATTACAGACCTGGTAGTGATATTGCTAGGTCAAAGGGTATACATGGTTTTATAGCCTTTTGGGCATAGTTCCAAATTGCTCTACAGAATAGTTTAATCAGTTCACAACTCCACCAACAGTGCATAAAGTCTCATTTTTCCCACATCCCCTCCAATATTTGCCATTTACCCTTTCTGTCCTACTAGCCAATCTAATAGGTATGAGGTAGTACCTCAGAATTGTTGTAATTTGCATTTCTCTAATCAATAGTGAGTTAGAGTATTTTTTCATGTGGCTATAGATAGCTTTGATTACTTCATCTGAAAACTGATATCGTATCTTTTGATCATTTACCAATTGTGGAATGGCTCTTCTTTTTATCAATTTGACTCCATTCTCTATGTGTTTGAGAAATGAGGCCTTTATCAGAGAAACTTGCTTCAAAATTATTTTTCATAGTTACTGTTGCTAACTGTATTTCCCTCCGTCTATTTCTCCTTTTTCTTTCTTTTCTCTCGCTCGTTTCACCCTGTCCCTCCTTAAAAGCATTTTGCTTCTGACTACTCCCTCCCCAGTCTGGTCTCCCTTCTGTCACTGCACCCCTTGTCTTATCTCCTTCCCCTCCTACTTTACAGTTCTGAGGTACTGCCACATACCTATTAGCTCTTTTCTGGGGGCAAAGAATTAGAAATTGAGTGCATGCCCATCAATTGGGGAATGGCTGAACAAATTGTGGTATGTGATTATGATGGAATACTGTTGTACTATAAGAAATGATGAGCAAGATACTCTCAGAGAAGCCTGGAAAGACTTGCATGGCTGATGCAAAGTGAAATGTACTGTGTACAGAGTAAGAGCAATATTGTAAGATAACCAGTTGTGAATGACTTGGCTATTCTCAGCAGTACAACAATACAAGACAAATCTGTATGTGAAAGTCATACTTTCTGCTCAGCTCTAGTCTTTTCATCAAGAATGCTTGAAAGTCTTCTATCTCATTGAGTATCTTTTTTTCCCCCTAAAGGATTATACTTGACTTTGCTGGGTAGGTGATTCTTGGTTGTAATCTTAGCTCCTTTGCCCTCAGAATATCATATTCCAACCCCTCTGATCCTGTAATGTAGAAGCTGCTAAATCTTGTGTTATCCTGACTGGCTCCATGATACTTGAATTGTTTCTTTCTGACTGCTTGCAATATTTTCTCCCTGATCTGGAATTTGGTTATAATATTCCTGGCATTTTTCATTTTGGGATCTCTTTCAAGAAATGATTAGTGAATTCTTTCAGTTTCTGTTTTACCCTCTGGTTCTAGAATATCTGGGCAGTTTTCCTTGATGATTTCTTGAAAGATCGTGTCCAGACTCTTTTTTTTTGATCATGGCTTTCAGGAAGTCCAGTAATTTTTAAATTATTCCTCCTGGATCTATTTTCCAGGTCAGTTGTTTTTCCAATGAGATATTTCACATAGCCTTCAATTTTTTCATTCTTTTGGTTTTGTTTTATTGTTTCTTGATTTCTCATAAAGGCATTAGCTTCCATTTGCTTCATTCTAATTTTTTAAGGATTTATTTTCTTTAGTGAGCTTTTAGACCTCCTTTTCCATTTGGCTAGTTTTTCTTTTTAAGGCATTCTTCTCATTGGTTTTTGAGACCTCTTTTACTATTTGGCCTAGTCTGTTTTTTAAGGTATTATTTTCTTCAGTATTTTTTTGTGTCTCCTTTACCAAGTTGTT